GAGCTGAGAAGCACACATGCATCATGTCATTTTATCCTCACAACCACCTTACAGGGGGGTACAAGTCGCATTCACACAGTGATGGGGTAGGGAGGCAAACCCTGGGTCACCATGGAGACTGTATTTGCAGTTCTAACCTTTCTACTCTCGTCTCATACTTTCTTCTCCTTCTTATGGTTTCTTGAAGGTACTTCCACATGGTGGTTGACTTGAGCTACATTATTTCCTCTATTTACATAATCCATGAGGAGATAGAAACATTTTCTCCCTTCACAGAATGGAACGCTACCAAGTCAAAACCGTCTTTGTGTGTATGTGCACGTAGAAGGATGTGTAGAGCAGGGTTGAATGAAGTCATTTAAGAGTGGGTGTAAGAGTTAGTTTGACCCACCTTTCAATCTGTGAGATGCCTTTGATGTGCAATGACGTGACCCCTCCAGGCCTCAGATTCCTCCTTGAGTCATGAGGGTATCAATATAAAATAATTAGTTGTGGATGTGTCTTGTATATTCAAATATTTTATTTCATCTGTCCCTTTAGTCCTTGAAATAATAATTTTTAATTAGCATATCATTTTACTAACCTCAAGCGGAAGTGGAGTAGGGTGCAAACTCAAGGAAAGTCTTCATGATGGGGGCCGCGCATTAATGCCCACATCTCGGTTGGCCTCAGAACACACTGCACCAACAAATCATTTCTCTTAAGCAAGCAAACCATTCTTCAGCTGATGTGTGTAATCACTAGAGGTGCCCACCTCCATCCCTAGCCTCCAAGAGACCCTAGGCAGACACCACTGCGAATGAACAGGGGGAGGTCTTTTCTAAAAGCCCTGAATAGGGTTTGTCTCAGCCACAGGTGAACAAATGAAATGAAACACTCCAGTCCGAGACCCACGCTGGTAGCCTCAGAAAGATACCGAGTCTTCACAGACCAGCAAAGAGAAGATCAAAGTTGATGAAAAATTACGCGTGGCATTCGAAGACACAACATGAGACATAGCATCATTCTTGGGGTATACCCAGGGATACCGAGTCCTAACTGTTCGGCCCTGGGCAAGTTTGTCCACTCCTCTGAACCTCGGCATCTGTATCTATGAATCTGTGAAAGTCATCCCGCTCAGGATTGAGAGGGGTGCAAACTGAAGTCACAGATGTCACAGTGCCTGGTATGACTGCTTCCGACCAATCGTGTTATTTCGTTAGGGAACCTGTTTTCCCAAGTATCAATCTCACCCTGATTCATAGCACACATATTTCTGATTTGGGGAAGTCATGATTCTTTTATCAATCCGGTAACTTCTGTGGCCATTGAAATTCAAAGACTCTTGTCCTCTGCTATTTAATGACATTGATGTGCTGGGTTTCCCCTTCTCACCCACTCCTAGCTCAGTTATCAGAGTGAAAAGATGGAGCTAGAGCTATAAAAATATGATTGCATTGCTGCTGCAACTTCCCAAACTCAGATGGTTATAACCTGATGCAGGGCATTCCAATTTTAACTGTCGACTGCTGTTTTTATTTCATAAAGCCACTAAAAACATCCTGTACTGCTTTTATATACATCACTACCTTTATGGCTTTTGTGTCATAATAAAAGGTGGTTCATTGGAAGCTGAGGATTTTTTTTTTCAGTAGAAAAATAGCCAACTTGGCTATTAAGACATTTCTGTCTAGTTTCTCTGCCTTCTAACTGTCCCACGCAGACTATTTTCCCAAAAAGCTATTTATAAGGCACTGCCCTGTTCAACCTTCAAAGGCTCCCCATTACATTGGTTTTGGAAGGCCCTAGGTCCTTAGCCTGGCTGTGAAAGATGTCTAGCATCTGGCCTCGTAACTCACCGATATAAAACAAAACACCTAGATGGCGCTTCCTTTTTGAGCGCTCGTGACTTTAGACACAAAGTGCTTTCACCACCGTTTCTGGGAAGCCCTTCTGCCTTGCTTCTTTCTGTCTGTTGACTTGTTATCAGTAAAAATCCAGCTTGCTACCCAACCTTTCCAGGAATTCCTCCCTGGGATTTCTTGCTCTCCTAACCCTTAGCAGCACTCACCCCTCCCTCTCTTCTGTCACTAGCACCATATTCTGCCCAGGCTTTGGTTGTTGCCTTGCATTGTCACATGTGGGACTCTCTCTAGATCCAAAGTTCCCTGAGATTAGGAGACAGGCCTTCTAGCTTTCTCCTGCGCTGTGCCTGTGCCGCACACTGTGTGATGATACACGAGGAAAGGAACAGTCTCTAGGAGGAAACTCATCAGACTCCTCCTCTTACAGAGGTTAAACGACTCAGCCCCGGGCCCATGGAAGTTCACGGTGAACCACCTGAAGCCCAGTGCAGGGCACTTCCCAGGAATGAGGAAGAGAAAGCACGACAGGTGGGCGAATGGACGGACAGCTGGATACGTGCCTGTGTGCACTGTGAGTAGACACCTGTCAGTTCTTTGATTCAAGGGTGTGGGGGAAAGCCTGATAGTAGAGAGATGACAACTAATGTGTGCATTTGGTAGAGATGGCAGTTCCTTTCTAGTCCCCCCAGACTGAGCAAAGGATATCCCAACAGGCCTCAGGGGAAAGACAGGTCTCTGGGCAGCATTATAGCTGGTGGGTTCTAAAGGTACATTTTTGATCTAAAGGTACATTTTGGATTCCCCTACTGTATCCTCCCCCCGGTCAGTGTTCTCCCTCCCGCTTCAGGGTCTTTGCCATTCAAATCCCAGACCCACTTCACTATCACAATAGGCTCCAAGGACTGATGCACGATTAGTGATTTATATGGTGATGTGTCCATCATGGTGGGCTGCATTTATATCATGGTGGCATCTCAGAAAATTACCTACCTAGGCACCTCTCACATGGACAGATCACCGACAGGTGACCATCTGGACTCTGAGAATAAGCATCTAGGTGGCAGAACTGATAACCAACCCAAGAAGGCCTCTTCAGACAATTCTGATTCCTATAAAGTCCCTTGTCAAATAAGTTTAGTCACTTTGTTCAGTTTGTCAACAACCACTTGTTGATACTGGATGGTGTCGTTGATGCAAAGTGACACAGGGAGATTATGACAGATACACGGCCCCTTGTCACAAAGGCACCTTCAGTCTAGGTAAAAGGTCATTCCATGTAATCCCCTCCTCCTGCTAAATCTTGTGTCAACTGAACATTTTGATTGTCATTGAACAATCAGCCTTATGAGAATCTGAAAAACAGTTCTTTCCTTCCTTAGGAGCATCTGTCCTCCTATCTCTAACCATCTGAGTGCCCTCCAGTTCTTGCTCTTATGTCATTATCTGAGTTTCTCCACATTTCTCGTCCCCATCTTGGACTGCTTCTCACTCTTGGGAGTTAAGAGAATTACCAGTAAAAGAGCCATGTATGCAAATTCAGCCCTTGATATCGACAGAAACTCCTCAGTCCAGCAGTCCCTTATCACAAAGTAGGTTAGGTGAATTCGGACCAAAGACAGATCAGTAATCCCCAGCACTGGATTATCAAAGTCATCATGAACCAAGGAACCATCCATAGTGGATAGCTCTCCATCTCCAGGATAGCCCACTGCTGAGGGGAATAACTTCAGTGTCCGTGACCTTAAACATCTCAAACCACCTCCTCAGCATGGGTTTCACATGGGCTTACCTGCCTTGGCCTGTTCAAAAAATTCCCAAAATTCCCCTGATATAGTAGAACCTTCAGGAGGGGATTTCATTTTGCTCCAAATACAGGTTTTTCTTCAACCACATACACTCAAGTGATGGTGTTCCCATAATAGGGGACTGTAACTTTTAATGAGAAAATGTAATACTTGTTAACCTCATGTTCATCTTCTTGGATTCTGCACATGTAACACATAAATAGCACTTTACAGGAGATTAAAATAGGACATAGGCTGGAGAACAGCCTGTGTGTGCTTCCCTATTAGCAGTATTAGGAGTTGGGATGACTCACGTATCCAACAGATTCTACTGTGTCTGGCTCCCAGCTTGATGATGTCGTACCGAGATGAGTAAGGTGCATCCTAGCAGATATGATCTGGTCCGAGTAAAGGCAGGCTTCTGCCCCACCCCCAACCATGTTTAAGAAAAGCCATGGGATTTCAGCGTTAACACCAGAGGGGAAATGTCTAGGAGAGGCTCACCTTGCAGTTTCTCA